CTTGTAGTTTCGGTTCAGCAGCGACCCCTTGGGATCTCCTAAATATCTGCCATCGTAAATCGAATGACGGAGTCCGAAATCAAACCCACAACTTTCATGGCGGCACAACCACTTCACCACTGAGACCGTTATATTTATGTGTTTCTCTATAGTTATTTTTAGTTTATGGTTATAATATTTTAGTCTCGTTATGTCTACGCCTCCTCGAATAAAGTGTGCTGAGTATTAAGTTTAAAAAAATATACACACATATCAGCTAATGTGTTTGAGGCATTCAGTCAGGCGGGTGACAAAGATATAAATAGAAACACAACCATAGACATAGGTGTCTTGGCTGGCAAGACTGTAAGGCGCAGTTTCAAATTACCGGATGTTAAGAAAGTCCATAGAATGCAGGCTGAATGGGCCTTACTGCACGTAAACATGGCGCACCCAATCCAAATGCCTACAGTGGATTAGCGAAGCGGTGACTGTTCAGGAGGCTAAACAACCTGATCATAGTGCGTACGGATAGGATTTTTGTGGCCCCCAAAGGAAAATACAAAATAGTTATCAGCTATCGAATGTGTGGTATTCAGTATAACTATGCAGCATAGTATGCTGATACAAATAATACAGAGTACACTGTAATCTCTAAAACGAACAGTGAGTAAAAAAGTAGCTTGTAACCTGACTTAAAATACGAAATTTATTGTGTGTGTTGGGAGACGAGCTGTTACTGAATAGGATAAATAAATAGATAAGGGTTTCGTTTGGAATCACTGGCAAGAAGCGTAGGCGTGTTTATAGTATTCTTCTATTCTGTTATTAAGCGTCATCCGACTTCTACTTGTCCGCGCATTATTCGACAGATGACCATCTGTGGTAACACAAGTCAGCATGCTTGAAATTTGATCGCGGTCAGTGGAGTCGCATAAGCGCCTACGCCAGTTGGCATGGCACATGATGATGATTACTTTCAGTAACGGTCTCATCGGTCGGCGTCAGTGACTGAGGTGTTGTGAACGTACCGGCTTCGGTCCCAGCCTTCACCGGGGCTTGAACCCGAGACTTCCAGTACTCGTGGCGGACACCATACTTCGAGACCACTCAGTCCCTCTTTTTAAATGCCTTTTGAGAGAAGAAGGCACACAAGTATAAACTTTGATTTTTTTTTTTTTTTTGTGGGTGAGTCCCTCGCCTTTGTCTCAACATTTGTTTGCTTGATACTGAACACTGGAGTTAGTTTTTTTTTTTTACAAGGTCAGTTTATAATAAACAAGTCGACGGACGATGGTTTGGTGGCATTTTTGGATGCCTGATATATGATAGAAAAACAAACGAGACAGACCTCTTTGTGATAGAAAAAACACAGTTTTGAGTGTGTCAATTTTTGCTTATGTCGCTAGGCGTCGCAGGCGATCGACAGCCGAGCCAGGGCGCGCTCAGTCGCTTGATATGCTGTGATGCTATGCAGTCGCAAGGTGTCAGTGACTCCTTCAGTCCATTTTCTTCTCGGTCTTCCTCTGCCGCTTGATGTTTCGATTTTCAGTTTGTACGCTCTTGCTGATGGCATCGTTGGTTTCATTCTCATTAGATGGCCAAACCGTTTCATTCTGGTTTTTCCCAATGAATTTGACGATGGCTATTGTTCCAACAGTTCTTGTGATCACGTCGTTTCTTACTCGGTCTCTTCTGGTTTTAATCACAGCCATTCTCAAACATCTCATCTCACAGGTGTTTATTTTTCTTTCATATTCTTTTGTCACTGTCCAAGTCTGACATTGGTAACCTAAAGTCGGTAAAAATATTGTAATTATGATTTGTATTTTCTCTCTACTGGTATAGCAGTGTGTTTTATAAAATTGTAGCAAGTTGGTACGTGACATTGTTGGCTTGTTGGATTCTCGTCTCTCTCTCTCTCTCTCTCTCTCTCTCTCTCTCTCTCTCTCTCTCTCTCTCTCTCTCTCTCTCTCTCTCTATTTTACCATTGTGTGTAAAGAGCTCCCCGAGTATTGAAATTCTTGCGCTTGTTTCAGACTTTGGTCTTTATGTCGATGGTTTGTTGCTCTATACTTATTCTCATGACTTCTGTTTGTTTCATTATTTATCTATGTGTGATGTAAAAGGCAGCTGTCGTGTAGTTGGTTTATGTGGTCCTTCACCTGTTTACTTTCACTGTAGAATATGCACTGATCGTCGGCAAAGAGCAACTAATTAAAGTACTTCTGTTTATCGACATCTGGTATGGATATGTTTATTTTATTAACATTGTCCATGACTATTATAAAAAGTAATGGTGAAAGAACACACCCTTGCTCCTGGTGTTACTGAAAACCAGTCTTTGAGGCCAGCTCTTGTTCTGACGGCAAGTTCACTTTCTCTCTCTCTCTCTCTCTCTCTCTCTCTCTCTCTCTCTCTCTCTCTCTCTCTCTCTCTCTCTCTCTCTCTCTCTCTCTCTCTCTCTCTCTATTTTACCATTGTGTGTAAAGAGCTCCCCGAGTATTGAAATTCTTGCGCTTGTTTCAGACTTTGGTATTTATGTCGATGGTTTGTTGCTCTATACTTATTCTCATGACTTCTGTTTGTTTCATTATTTATCTATATGTGATGTAAAAGGCAGCTGTCGTGTAGTTGGTTTATGTGGTCCTTCACCTGTTTACTTTCACTGTAGAATATGCACTGATCGTCGGCAAAGAGCAACTAATTAAAGTACTTCTGTTTATCGACATCTGGTATGGATATGTTTATTTTATTAACATTGTCCATGACTATTATAAAAAGTAATGGTGAAAGAACACACCCTTGCTCCTGGTGTTACTGAAAACCAGTCTTTGAGGCCAGCTCTTGTTCTGACGGCAAGTTCACTTTCTCTATAAATAGCTCTTACACAGTCTAGCTTCTTCTTCTTCTTCTTCTTCTTCTTCTTTTTCTTTACGTCCTCTTTTGCCGCTTCGGGTGTCAGGGAGATTTAAGTTTCTGCTTCGTGCTCTTCTGGCAGCTTCAACCATAGACACATCGTGGTGATGTAGAGTTTCTCTGATGTTGTCTTCCCATACTGTTTTTGGTCTACCTCTTGCTCTACGTCCTTCTCCTTTTTTGATATATGCCTTGTATGGTAGAGCATCGGGAGGCATTCTCTCCAAGTGGGCAAACCATGTGATTTGCTGTCTTTGTATGTAATTTAGAACTGGTTCTGTTCCGACTTTATCTCGTATGACCTCATTCCAGATTTTATCTCTTCTGATCACTCCTAAAGTCCTCCTGAGACCCCTCATTTCCATGGTTACTAATTTTTGTTTATGTTTCGTTGTGAGTGACCACGTCTGGCACTGGTAGCATAGGGTGGGAATGAATATGCTTTGTATGAAATGCTTCTTTGTGCTGATTGGAATTGTCTTATGCTGTCAGAGGCGGGCTAGCTGTCCCAATACTACACAATCTAGCATGTTCTATTTATACCATAGTTTTCAAGGACATCCCATAGTAAACATAACTAATCTAATATAATGAGAACTATTTGTGTCCAGAATTATGTTACCAGTGTCAAACTTGGACCCTTGCTTAAACTAATAGTAGTTCTAAGTGGTAGAAAAACAAACAAGTTAGTCCTGTTTCAGGCAGAATAAAACTGTAACTTTATTAGGGCAATTATTTTTAAAAAGTAGTAACTACATATTTTACGCTAGATGCGCATCGAGCATATGATGCTGGGATAATAGTAACATTACTTTCCCCATTTACACGGTGTTACACACTAGCTCACTTCTGATTACTCGACCTTCAGCCTACCTCACTTCTGATTGGTCGACTTTGAGCCACGCAATCTTGACACAAGGTTACGGTGGTGTTCCTCAATAATATCGCGTATTGTATATTTCATAATGCTAGCACTTTTAACACTCCAAAAATACCGACAAACCGGGACTAACACAAACCCCTTTAGAGAGTGATGAAACCTATGTCACAGGCATTCTCTTTCTCGGAATAAAAACGTAAATGCAAGACAATCCAGAAAGCAAACAAAGAGCGGCACACCCGTAACCTCAACCAAAGTAGACTAGTCCAAAAAAACCTAACATGACTTACTTTGTTTGGGGTGAATAACGTTTGTTTAAATGATGCTGGATATAGGCCAGTGTTCGCGGGCTCTCACTGGCGTAATCGTGGGACAAGTCCCAGGTGGCCGCTAAAAATGCTGCCTCATACTTACAGGGTCGGGTATGTAGTTTTACTCCTTGATCGCAGTTTGTAGGATTTAACACCTAAAGAATGAGAATGAAGCAGCTACAAATCCCGAAAATTCTGTTCCGCCGTATAAATCAGTTTTATTGCGACACCAGACAGGGACATACCTGTAGTCGGGCCTGAGCTGAGAAGAAGGACAATCACTCACGTAGCCGCTATATGATTCCTGCAAAGCGAATGTGGCATCGTATGCCTCAGTTTTGTTTCTGTGTTTTAGTAACTTTCAGGTGAGCTGCAAAACAAATTCGCTTGTTTTTAGTGGGCCGCGGTGCACACAGGTTGATCAACACTGATATAGACCTCAGTCGACATACTGCGTGGAGAAATTAGACAGGTTTTTTCCCTACATGCTATTCAACTAATGGCCGACATAGGTTTAGTAAGTGGCCCGCAGATCATTGCCAGGTGTTGTGTATTGATGATCTCTAAAGGCTGGGCTGGGGCTTGTGGTGATTCCCGGTGTCAATATTTTGCCATTAAGTAAACTTAGTTGAATAGCCCTGTGCTATGAGAAGAACTAGGCTTAGGAACTTGGTGACGACTGGCAATATTGAGAGGACAGGAGCAAAATGAAAGCAGGGACAAATGCCTTCAGACATGGCTCCTTGGATAGGGTGGGACTAAAGCACTGTCTTGATCTGTGTTATAGTGATTATGTGCGATGGCAAACCAAGATGATATGTTTTATTTAATTGATCCCATTTATGTCACCCTGTCCAGCTGACAATTAGCAAGCTTAATTATAAAAGTCCATGAATTTTTATGTTTCAGAAATGATGGAATCATCTTCAAGATTATGGTTCATCCTACAGTACATCTACATCTATGTCCTCATGGCTTCAAGTGGCGCGTCAGGACAATCATCAGAATGTGACTCCTTGAAGACTGTGTTTCCGCAATGTTCGTGCAGCAAAAACCTGGACAGAGTAGGAGCCATGCTGAGCACATCTGTTGACTGCTCTTCACGGGGTCTGAATACAATCCCCAGCTCCACTACAAGATTTTATATTCATGAGCTAAAACTTAATAACAACAGCATAGTCAGTTTGGGAGAAAGTATTCTCAGTAACTTTGATATCACAAAACTGGATTTAAGTAACAATCCAATTGGCTCAGTTCATGACCATGCTTTTGGATATTTGGGTAGCCATCTTAAAATATTGATTCTGAGCGGAAACAACTCTTCACAACCTCCCAAAAATGCATTTCAACACCTAACACTGCTAGAAGAGTTGACATTACAAAATTATAATGTTACTCTATTGACTCAGTCATCTGCATATTTTCTGTCTTTGGGAAAACTGACACAGCTCACACTGGACAACTGGAAACTGGAGTCCATTGATCCAGGTTCTGTTCAGTTACCCAGTTCGACTCGTCTACAGAGTTTGACTTTATTAAACCAAGTCATGGTGTCATTGCCAGTGGATGAATTACATTTACCTGAGCTCCAGTATTTAAAGAGACTGCATATTAGTCACACAAATATTCATGAAATACCCCCCGGAAGTTTAAGCAGCCTGAACAGTTTGACAGAACTAGATCTAAGTGACAACAAAATTACTTCCCTTGACGCTGACTGCTTCACTGGGGTCGGTGACACCTTGGCCAGGCTTTTCCTGTCAAACAACCAGCTAACAAGCATTAGTTTGCTTCCTGGGCTAGCAGATCTAACAGACCTCCAAGAACTGGACCTGTCATTCAACCAGATAATCAGTATTCCAGATCTGTCAAGGATTCACACCACCAAGCCTCTAGCTTTAAATCTCAGCCATAACGGCATCAATGTTGTGCCAGAGAGTGCTTTTGTAGGCATTGCAGACAAACTAAAGACCATCGACTTGTCATATAATAGAATATCTACACTTCAAGCAAATTTTGGAAGCTTCACCCAAATTGAAAGTCTCTTTTTGTCATATCAGTCGGCCAACAGCCCTCTAGTGCTACCATCATCACTTGGACAAACAGCAGGGACTCTCAAACAACTTTTTGTTGGTGGACAGAAGATCAGTGAGCCAGACTTATGGTCCGTAGTTAGACAGCTGTATATGCTTGAAGTACTCAACTTAACCTCTGCTCAGTTGACAAGCATCCCAAATTTATCGCTGAGTAAATTGACACACCTGAAAATACTTGACCTTTCAAATAACAGGGTGCAGAATATAACACAGGACACACTTGTTGGACCCCGTAACTCTTTAAAGTTTCTGATTCTCACAGGGAATTCAATTTCTACATTATCCTCATGTGTGTTGTATCAGTATACAAGCTATCCAATTTCCCTGTTTTTGGGCGAGGATCGTCTTATCTGTGACTGCTCTGTTGAATGGCTGTGGAGTAGAATAAGGAATGGTAGTATTACTCATCTTCCAGGACAAGAAGCAGTATGCAGAGATAACCAACCCCTTGCCAACAAAAGTATGGATAGCTTCTGCACATCACCATCCACAGAACCCCAGTGTATTGAATATTACAATGCCCCTGACCTAAAACTCACAATCTCTGTTGAGAAAATGAGACCAGATACCATTCAAGTATCATGGCAGTTGTCAGAAACAAGTGATCTCAAGCAGTTTATAATTCAAGTATCAGACTCACGCAGTCCATCACCTGTTTGGGAGAGTTCAGTTCCTGCATCATTAACTTCCCAAACTGTGAGCAAATTGGTGGGAAACACAAATTATCAAGTCTGCGTTGAAGCTTACTTTAATAAGACTCACCCCCTTTCTAACTGTACCCACATATTCATTCCTGGAAACAGCACAGTTAGTCCTGAACAGCAATTCATTCCTGGAAACAGCACAGTTAGTCCTGAACAGCAGACAGGTTTGAGCCCAACGGAAATAGGAATCATTGTTGGAGTTATTGTTGGAGTGGTGATTTTGCTGGCTCTGATTGGGGCAATTGTCTATTTGTTAGTTTTTCGCAGATGCAGTAAGAAAAAGATGCCAGATGGTGTACCGGCTCCACCCAGAAACTTCTCCAAATCAGAGCTTCCATCAATGAATGAAGAAACAAGAACCTTTGCAAAACCAAAGAGAAGCAGAGAAACAAATGGCCCAGAGACTAGAGAGGCCATGCAAGTTGTTGCTATCAGTGATGGCCAGACAGGCCATGGCAGAGTGGGTAGAGCTAATTTGTTGAATTCTGATGGCAGTTTCAAGAAAACAAGAACCAGCAACTCGTCATCTTCATCAGGCCAGGTAGCTTATGAAAATGATCATGGCCCATTGCCTCCGACACCAAACAGACAGCACTCGATGCCTCCACATGTTGGTTACTACAATAAAGGTTTTAAAGATGACAGTTATGATGAAATTGTCCCAAAAAGAGAAAGTGTTATATAAGCAACTCATGATCTTCAGGGCTGTTTCAGTGGATACTTCCTTGCCAGAGGACAAGCATTTGGTTGCATGGAAGTGCTATGTAGTGTTTAAGTGACTTGAGCAAAAACTACCTTTATGCTGGGGACAATTACATATCAAATGATGAAAGGTAGTGGCCGACACAGAATGAATCAGATACTACAGTTTAGTTGTGTATTTGTTAACAATCAATAAGTGTGATACATGCAAGGACTTGCTATGTTAAATTTTGTGTAAATGTCTACATTCTTCAACAAACTCCAAACATTTTCTGATTGGAATTCAAATCTTCCATCAATGAATGAAGAAACATGAACCTTTGCAAAACCAAAGAGAAGCAGAGAAACAAATGACCCAGAGACTAGAGAGGCCATGCAAGTTGTTGCTATCAGTGATGGCCAGACAGGCCATGCAAGTTGTTGCTATCAGTGATGGCCAGACAGATAAGGAGCATGCACAATTAGTGAATCCTAAAGGGCTTCTCATGTTAAGATTGCATTTTTCTGCTTTAGGTGTACTGGGCATATGGTGCTGGACCCATATTATAGACCAGTCAGCACTTGTGGGTAATCAGGTCATTTGCCACGTTTACTTCTCAGGGCATTTCCTGGTACACATACAGAAAGCTAGAGAGGAACATGTACACAGTTGTAAAATGTGTAGTGATATAACTTGCTTAACTCTTTGAGTCCCAGGCTCAAGGGGTAGTGAAGACAGACTGAAATTGACGCATCATGCATTAATTGGGCTTTTAGTTAGGAACCTGTGAACGTATGATGCCTTCCTTGGGACTCAAAGAGTTGAAGTCCTCAGGGTTTGGCTGTAAAAGAATATTGCCACTATCCTGGTGATCATACTTTGGTAATCTTTGGTGCCCATTTGACGAAACAAGCTTGACCCCCACAGTTACAATAGCTGGAGGAACAATTCCTGCACTGCCAGTGTGATATAGCAAAGGTGTGTAAATTATGCTGGTATTGAAACTCTCATGCTATCAAATGTTGGTATTCAAGAATAGTGAACAGATTACTGGTGGTGATAGAACAGGAGAGAAGATTCGGAAGAAAACAAACATTTCTGAAAAATTCAGTGAGCTTTCATTACTTCTGAATTTGTTGATGGTGACGCAGATGTCTATTTGTTATTTATTTATTTTAGCTGTTCATGCCAGAAAGCCACTGGCATAAAGATTAGTGTGCTTGCTTGCCAAAACAGTGGTACAGTCCCCAAGAAGTGGTGGGTTTTTTCTTAACAAAACAGCTCATGGTGTCAACCCTCCTCATAACAATTGGTTGCAGGCAATTTCCAGAACTGTTTGGTTACAAAGGTTATGAGGACAGAAACTGGCCGTCACATCTTATATGCCATGGCCTGGAATGTGTGAAGCTCAAACACTTCAAACCTCAGTAGTGGTATCTATTAAGGTACTTCCTTTGTCTTTTTTAAAGCCAAATGTAATATTTTTCTGCACATTGACAAAAAATTGTAGTTTGCAAAAATACTTCTATCCAGGGCAATACTGGTAAATGTCAACAGGAATATTTGTTCTGTTTCTTTAAATTATTGTTCTGTCAATTCAGTAAATAAATAAAAAATTAAATTATGAGAATACTGTTAGAAAAGGAAACAAATATTGAAATGTAATACATTTTATGGCTAATAATTGTACTGTTCATTATTATTACACTTGTACAGTGAGGATAGCTGAAGAAGGCTGACTCTGATAGATGGTATAACTGAGGCAACAAACACTTTGGTGTATGAGACACATTCAACAGCTGGTTCAAGAACTTGCCTCAAATCCTCAAATTCAAAGGCAAAAGGACATGAACAAGAAGCAGTACTGATACATTCAGCTCTTCTCCATATTACAGGATTTGAGTAGATGCATGTCAGTATGAAGATAGTTTTTATACAGCAGAGAAGTGGAGCCACAGTTTGTAAACAGTCAGATAGCAGGCTGACTTGTAAACATTCGGATAATAGTCTGGCTTGTAAACATTGGATGGTAGACTGGCATTTTCACATTCAGATAGAAGACTGGTTTGTAAAGAGCCAGGTAATAGTCCAGCTTGTAAGCTGTCATATAGTTGGCTTGTGAGCAACTAGATAGTAGAGTGGTTTGTAAACAGTCAGACTGACTGGCTTGTAAACTGTCAGACAGATGGGCTTGTAAACTGTCAGACAGATGAGTTTGTAAACTGTCAGACAGATGGGCTTCTACAGATAGACTGGCTTATAAACAGTCAGACAGACTGTCTTGTAAACTGTCAGACAGACCGACTTGTAAACAGTCAGACAGACCGGCTTGTAAACTGTAGACAGACTGGTTTGCAAACAGTGCAGCAAATAGTAGTAAAAGTAGACAAAGGATCTCTTTTATTCACTGAGGAGTATTGACCATATGGTGCAATCCCTATTTCTTTATAGATCAAATGGCTCATGGTAAGTGATGTGGTAAATGTATTGCCAGCCACCTTTACTTCTCTTCAAGTGCCAGTTGATCTATAATAATGGGATCAAGAACCATATGCCAAACACAAAGGATCCGTTACTTTGCATGACTAATGACTATAAACCATAGTAAGGTGCAGATGCATTCCCATCCACTAAACAGTTGAAGTATTTGATCTCAAGAGATTAAATTATAGGTCGTAACCTTTTTAAAAAAAAATGTGTTTCAGCCAGTAAAATGCAAAATATTACAAACAGTTGAATTTAGTATTTACAGCAACCACTATTTACAATATGTACTTTCATTTTCATGCCTTACTGAATACTGAATGAAATATTTCATCTAGATTAATAATATTTTAAATTTCACTTTATTGTCCTCCAGGATAAGATAATTGTCTATGTGTAAATTATGAGAATTATAGCTCAGAAAATATTAGGTAAATGTGGTGTCAAGTGACCCAGTTTCAGTAGCATGTTTGTATTGTGCATTGTAATATTTGAGAAATGAAGAATATTTTATATTTTCTTTACATTCCAAGTTTTCTAAACATTCCAAGAAATACTATGTTATGCAATTCTTAGCAAGATGTATCCTCTCTATGACTTTGTTCCTAATATAAACACTACAGAAACAGTTTTCTCCCCCCCCCCCCCTTTTCCGCATTTCATTTTTTTAACATTTTAGTTTAATGTGTGGGGGTATTCTGGAATATGCACATATTTATGTAGAATTTGAGGTTACATAATTACTAGTATTGTTGTAATCTTCTTCTGCCTGTCTAACCCACAGTGGAGCATACATAGGCCCTCAACCATCTCATGCCAAGTGGTTCTACCCTCCACTATCGCATGCAGCTCTCCCCATGTTCTCTCTATCTTTTTGACTTCACTCTCTACTTCCCTTCTACATTATTTTAACAACAACTAAATTTATTTATTTTCACATTTAACCCTTTCACCCTGTAAGCATCTTTAACAGAAAAAATCATATTTTTTCCACCGTACATTAGAAACAAATCCTTAAAATTCTTGGAAACTCTACCCTGATAAACTAGAGGAAGAGAAGAAGAAGCAGAAAAAATTATGCAGTCTTGGGCATTTTTAATAAAAATTTAGAAAATTATATAAAACCTGTGCTACCGAGCAGACAGTCAAGTCTGCTAACCATAGCGCCCCTCGGACTCTATAAACAGTTTTTACAATAATACTTTTCCTAATTTTTTTCTCCCAATAAATCAGATTTATTTTAAAGGAAGTAATCACTAAATACGAACAAAACAATTAATTAACTGTTTTCACTAAACATGGAGCACAGTGACCTCATTATGATGTTGCTATGCTGTCACAAAGGCCATTAAAGGACCCCTTTCCCGCCTTCTTGGGTATTGAGCATACAGGACTAGACCTATATTTGATAGACCAGTCGGCACTGGGTGGGTGATGGGGTCAGCATCATGCCAGCCGCCTTTAAGTTCCAGGACTATACCTGATACTTACTCAAGGCTGGGTCGATCTCAGAGCCAAGGTCATTTTTGAAAAAGCCCAACTCTGTCAGTCTAGAGACTACAAGATAAAATACAAATTTTTTTGTCCACCTTATAAATATCTGTTAGAAAAAGGAAATGTAATTATATCTGGCCTGTGTACACACTATACAGTTGCATCTAGCACCACTGTTACATGTGCCGTCCAATATGTTTGCAGAGGAATTTTTACATTTTAAGTATTAATTTTGAATCTAGGCAGGGCAAATCAGGGAAATATTACTTTCCACAACAAATAAATTATGCTTACAGAGAGGAAAACACAAAATAACCACTGGATGTTTATAATTTAAAAAATTGTGCAAAATGAATGAGGCGGTATATAGAAGAACAGAAGGACAGAAGTAATGGTAATATCAAAGAATTGTATCATACCTAAATGTACAGTTAAAGCCAATTACATTATTTTGGACTGCATACAGATTCTTAAGTACCTAGGTACCTGAATAATATAAACTGGAGATACAGAACAGTATAGGACAAGCACAAATCGGATATATCAAAAGGAAGGTCTTGTACAGTAATTCCATCAATGGAGGCTAGAAACAATTCTTAGTATGCTGCATAAAAGGGATTCTAATATATGGCTGTGAACCTGAACTCTTTCTTCTGCTTTGTTCACCGACTGTAAGCTACAGCGGAAAGTCCCGGTTGTTGATCTATTTGGAGTTTGGCTTTGTGCCAGGACCTGAGTTTTACATGTACATCCATTTTACTGGCTTATTTGTGTGTTGATTGTTCCTTGCCACTCAGGCAAATGCACTTGGACTTCGAAGAAAATTTTCAATTAGTTTACTCCTACAATATGCTTGTTGGGGAGGCATTGGGTCAATTATTGTTTTCTCTAAAATCCCCGGAACCCACATGGGGTGAACTTGAACAATTCATATAAAAATCAAATAATCTGTTGAGGTCTCAGAGATGTGGTTTAACAGGGAAGAAAATGATAAAAATTCCATAGCTAAAGTGAGTAATCTAGAG